TATCTCGTATTCTTCAAGGCTTCTTTATAAGTAGATTTAACCTTGAATTCATCATTTAGTAGCCGGTTCCAAACTGACTGTCTAAATATAAATCTCAGTAGGTTATAAAATCAAAGTCCAGTTAAAATATAAGAGGGAAAAAAATATTGCAACCCAAATAAATTCTTCATTTTATATCATAATGTGAATAATATTTCATAGTTGTAGCCTTTCTATGACTGTGAGACACGACCATTCAAAGCAGAAGAGATATGAAAAGATATATTGACTTTCACCACAGATCCAAAAAGCTCGAGCTGCTTTCGCTAACTTACACCATCTCTGGCGTAGGCGTGACATCCGGCTATCAACCAAGGGACGTGTGTACTGCTCAGCAGTTCGCTCCGTCCTTCTCTATGGCTCTGAAACATGGCCAATACGAGTTGAAGACATGAAAAGGTTGACTGTTTTTGATCATAGATGTCTACGATCTCTTTCTCACGTTAGGTGGTATAATAAGGTAAGTAATGTTGACGTCAGGCGTAGAGTGTTGGGCAAAGAGGGAAAATCAATCGAAGAGGCTATAAAGTTACATAGATTGAGATGGTTAGGTCACGTGCTGCGCATGCCTAACCATCGCCTCCCCCGACGGACATTACTAGCTGATATAGGTGAAGGTTGGAAAAGAGTAAGTGGTGCATGCCAAACAAAAACATGGCCTCATCAATCCATGAAATCCTTGACAGTTAAACTGAGTCAGGTAGGGAGGGAGATGCAGACTTCCGGGTTGGGGCCCGCCCTCGGGACTCTAAGAATCAATGGCTGGAGACAATAGGTGACATGGCTCAAAATCGTTGTCAATGGCTTACGCAGATGTATTCAGTCTCTGTAATCTTTCATATTCCTTTCTACCATTACTCATTCTGTTTCACTCCTATACTTGTCAAAACTCTATTGATTCTCTTCACTCATCTTCTTGTCTACCTTTGTGTGCTATTTGGAACGTGGCAACTCGAACTGTTGCACTTCGGTGCCAAGTTCTATGTTGAATCCAGACAGACAGATAGATGTTTACATTCTATCTCTCGTTTTAAATGGTACAGTATAGCGAGCGAGTATTGTGGTGGGGTTAGGCGTAGAATATTCGTTAATAAGGATGGGGGTGAGTCGATTGATGAGCTTGTGAAGCTGCATCGTTTAAAATGCCTAGAATATATATGATGCGTATACCTGGATACACTACCGCCTTCCTCGTCGAGCAATGTTAGCTGACTTACGATATGGTTGAGAAAGAGTCAAGGAATGGTTAAACGAAAACCTAGCATAAGTTAGTTCATAAAGCCTTTGACAGTTTGTTTAAGCCAGCCATGTAGAGAGAGAGAGAGAGGTTTAGACTACTATCTGGTTTGGGTCTTCAATACACCAAGGGCTAATAGTAGTGTGTAGTGGTGTGGTTCAAAATCCTCCTCAAGGTGTACAGATACATTCACTCTTTTTTTTAATCTTCGAGATCCATTAGTCCTTCATATTTTTCCATGTTATTACTCTTTCTCCTGTACATTTTTTCACTTATTTCGGTCCTTTTGAATCTTTTTTTCTTTCTTATCTCCATTTTTGCGTGTTAAATGGAGTGTAGCAAGTTGAATTGCTGTAATCCTGTGTTGGATGGAATTCAATCAGTCAGTTTGTCATACGTGTGGTTAATTCTTTTCAATGGAATGTAATATGTTAGAATGTATTCTCAGACTTAGAAATTATTTAGCCTTTCGCTGATAGATGAACGAACAGACAGCAGGCAGACATGCGCGTGAACACTTCTCTTGTGATTATACACTTTTATCTGTTCAGTAGAACAGATGATAATTTTTGAGAGTTTCATGCACATATTTTCTAATGTGTTTTGAACAAGATGTCAGCTAAAGATAAACTAATTCACGTATATAATTCATTAATACCTCTATCTATAAAGTGGCAACACACTGATGGCATCCTTGTTTACCTTTCTTTTATCATTATTATTATTATTCCCTTGGGTTCGTAGGGGAACATAGGGCTTTAGCACTATGTCTCCATTTCACTCGATTTTGTGTACTATTATTTAGCTGGCTGCACTATTGCACATATGCTCTTATCTCCTCCTCACACGGTCGCCCCCATATCACCCTCGGACCCGCGCTCAACTCGCTTCCCATTCGGGTTTCACTCGAAGATCTGCCTAGTGTGTGATGTCACTCAACCGTCTCCTCAGCGTATATAATACAATCCATTTCCACTTTCTTCGGCATATTTGTAAGGCGATAGGTTACCGGTTGATTCTTTACCAGTGTTCCTTGTTGGCTTATCCCTTCTGATCATTCGATGTTTAGTATGGAGCCAAAGGCAGCTGTTGATGAAAGTCGGTAGTAGCCTGTTAGAAACACTCTTCGTGACGTTCTAAGTCTCTGAATTATGTAGAAGCACTGACTCGATATTAGTAATGAAAATTCGGGTCTTGTTACTTATGCTAAGTGCAATAAATTTCAAGATTAACTTCAGGTTAATGAAGATCTCTCGTGCTTTGATGATATCCTCATCTGTGCTGTCGCCTGCAGTTGAAATGAAGGAAGTGATCTCTTTCGAATCTGTCTGTTTGTCTGGATTCAACATAGAACTTGGCACCGAAGTGCAACAGTTCGAGTTGCCACCTTCCAAATAGCACACAAAGGTAGACAAGAAAATGAGTGAAGAGAATCAATAGAGTTTCGACAAGTATAACAGTGAAACAGAATGAATGAGTAATGGTAGGAAGGAATATGAAAGGTTAAAGAGACTGAATACATCTGCGTAAGCCATTGACAACGATTTTGAGCCATGTCACCTATTGTCTCCAGCCATTGATTGATTCTTAGAGTCCCGAGGGCGGGCCCCAACCCGGAAGTCTGCATCTCCCTCCCTATCTGACTCAGTTTAACTGTCAAGGATTTCATGGATTGATGAGGCCATGTTTTTGTTTGGCCACCACATTACTCTTTTCCAACCTGCACCTATATCAGCTAGTAATGCCCGTCCGTCGGGGGAGGCGATAGTTAGGCATGCGCAGCACGTGACCTAGCCATCTCAATCTATGTAACTTTATAGCCTCATCGATTGATTTTCCCTCTTTGCCCTGTTGATAGAGATAGGCGCTTGTTTTAGTTGGTGTTGCTTATTTTCATCACTTCTGTCTTCCCTGTTCACTTGAAGGCCTGTTTTCGCTGCTAGCATCTTCTTTGCTAAAACTTGTTGGTTTCTGCCTGTAGGTCATCGAGTTTGTGTGACATTAGACATAAAGCGTCAACAAAGTCCAGATATTCGGCCGTGTTTTTATCGGTTCAATTTATGCCTGTCTTCTCGCTCCCCCACGATCTGCTGTATAATCCTGCTCACTGGAGTCAAGAATATCATCGGCGGTAGCAAACAGTCTTGTCTTATTCCTGTCTTCTCTTCAAAGGCTTCGCTGAGCTTTCCGCTGTGAATCACTTGACATTTGGCATCATTATATAGCAGCAGGTGAATGAGGTTGATAAATTTTTTTGAGGCACCTCTTAGTGTTAAAGCAGTTTCCAAATCGCTTCACAGTCAACGCTGTTGATGAGGCCTTGTCGTTTAAAATGATATGCTATTTCATGATTGGCTTTTCCTAATTTATTTTTTGGGTTTCTTTAATCATAAGAAAGTTTGAAGTTAATTGGTGGATGCTGACCGACTAGCAGTGGAGTCCAGGATGCCACTGCTAGTCATCATCCACCAGTTAACTTCTAATTACATGCCCAGGCATTGTCGAAGCATCTGCACAAGAAGCCAACAGACATGTCAACCTGAGACCGAGCACTTCGGTCCAATCAATCGCGACGGGAAAATCTAAAATTCAATTAAAATAAGAAAGGTTTATTTCTTCAACTTTTTTTTACTATTGAGTTTGATTAAAATATTTATTACACTTTTAGGCAACAGTAGTTTACAATTTTTGATTCTGATCCCTGTTCACGGAGGTCTCTAAACAGTCAGATGTTATCCCTTGACATTATGTGTTAGGCATAGCTCCATTGAACAATTATTATTATTATTATTGTTTCCTTTAATTCCTAGAGGAACATAGGGCTTCAGCCACACGTCTCCATTGCGTTTGGTTCTCTGCTAGAGTCTTCACCTGGCTCCAAGTCTGCCCACACGTTTTCATCTCCTCTTCACATGACCTCCTCCAAGTCACCCTCACACTGACGACCAACTCGCCGCTTCCCTTTCGGCGGGTTCCACTCGAGCAATGGCTTGTCTAGTGATGTCACTTGATGGTTTGTTTCCTCAGAGTATGGCCAATCCACCTCCATTTCTTCCTGCCTATTTGTTTCACAATCGGTTCCTGCTGTGTTGGTTCGCTCATTGCCAGAGATCCCTGTTGCTGATCTTTTCTGGCCAGCCATCTGATCTTGAGTATTGAGCGAAGACAACTGTTAATGAAGGTCTGTAGTTTGTTTGAGATGCTCTTTATGACGCGCAGTGCAAGTCTCTGATCCGTATAGTAGTAGTACTGACTTCACATTGGAGTTGAAAATCCGGATCTTATTTTTGATGCTGAGTGCTGTTGACCTACACACAGACTTGAGAGTAGTGAAAGCTTGTCTTGCTTTTCCGATTCTTGCTTTGATATCCTCGTCAGTTCCGTTGGCCTGTAGTTGAAACGATGCTTCCCAGGTAGGTAGGTAAAAGAGGTTGTTTCTTTCAGGTTCCTTCCATTTATGCTTTTCGACTACTACGTTACATTTACATAGTTACCTAAAACTCTTATTTTTGTGGAATATCTTGCCAAAAAGTTGCAAAAAACTATTGCAATTATTTGCCTTTGAAACACTGAATCTTTGGATATAAACTTTGTTGCTGGATAATACCTATAACTATCTATTTGCCATTGAACAATGCTCAGTGTTAATTTGCACTGGTTTTATATTTCATTAAAACAGGTTATTTCAGTTATATCTATATTTTTTTCTTAAATCCCCTTTTAGTGTGGTACAGAAGAACGAGAAATATTCCACTTTTGGTATGTTTCTTGGCCTGATCATTCATCTCCTGAAACTGCAACTTCTGCGCGCAGCTTAATCCAACTTGTAGAAACAGTTGAAAGTTGTCGAAGAAAGTCTAGTCCATCATCAGAGTCCAGTGGTGTCAAAGTCAATCGAGAAAATCCTGATGACCCTATCTTAAACTGTCAGAAAAAATTACCCACATCCAAATGTTTTCATAGTTCATCCTATCGACCGAATCTGATGCCTAGCCTACAGAAAGTTGAATTAGAACAGTTGAATGATGAAGATACTACGCCTATTGTTGTGCATTGTAGTGCTGGTCTTGGACGTACTGGTTGTTTTATTGCTTTATGTATTGGTTGTGAACAACTCAAAAAGGAGGGGCAAGTTGATGTCTTAAAAATAGTTAGTCGAATGAGATTAGATCGTGGTGGAATGGTACAAAGTAATGAACAATATGAATTTATTCATTATGCTTTAACAACTTATCCATTGGAAGAGAAACCGTCAAACGCAGAATCGTCTACTGTTGATTCCCCACCCACAGAATATCCTATTTCAAGACAAAATGTCTAGCCGAAAACAATTTTCTCTCTGTGTGAAATCGACTGTATCACAGTCGATATACCTTTTTTTTCTTTCTTCTTTTTCTTAAAGCAGAGGTGTTTAGAAAAAATTATTTTATTTTATTCTATTGTATTGTACACTCGGCTACATTTTGTGTACATTCTTTCGCATTTATCACTGATTTCACCATAGTTATATTTTAAAGCTAACCCCCTCTTATCCCCTCGACCCCCTTTTCCCCCGCCATAGAGTCAATGTAACAATTTATTGGGTTTTTTTTGTGTGTGTATATATATGCAAAACTCATAGTGTTTCCTGTTAAGTTTGATTCAAAAGTTGAACAAAGAAAATTTGATAATAGTTATAATAATAATAATTATCATAATAAAAATAGTACGCTAAGATTATTTATTGATTAGTATCAAAGCTATTGGTCTGACTACTACTAATACTACTCTGTTCCTCTTCTGCTCATTGTTGATTATCATTGGTAAAATAGAATATAGTAAGTAGTATTAGAATGACTTCCATTCATTCATTCATTTATTCATTCACTCTTTTGACCATTTACATTGCTGTCTATGATTTTTACTCCCTCAACCATTCGAATTCTATTAGCCAATAAGAATTAAATTATTCTCATCCGCCTACTCCCTATCTGTCTAAATTTGATTGGTGGTTTCAGATTATCATTATTATTGGAAATATATGGTCATAATTATACAACTATTGTACATTGAAAATATATTTAATACTTACTATAACTCTTAAAGACGCTAATGATGATGCACTGGAAAAAGGCGCGAATGACATCTCATTGTTAATATATATTCAGCAAGAATAATTATAATCATAGTTACTAAAAGAAGCTGAGTTATGTGAATGCATATACGACCATAAGTCACCTTCCCCCCCTTCTATCAGTTTGTTTTAAAATGAGACAGTTTTGTATGTGTGTGTATCTCGTTTTAGAACTGAAACCGATACCTACCTTACAACATTAGGATGCTACTTCTCTGTGTGTGGAAATCCCTCTATTTTCTTGCTTTATGTGATATATACTGTGAAAGTTTTACTTTTTAGTGCTATTGTTTTAAACGTCCTCCTCCGCCCTGAAATTTCAATTTTTGAGCATATGTACGTATTCTACTAGAATAACTAACTCACTGTGTGTGAGAATGTGTGTGTAACCCGTATTATTCTAACATCTTAACTTCCTTCCAGTTTACTAAATGACATTGAAAGTACAGAGACAAACAAAACAAAAAATGTACAATCAGTGTGTTGTAAATAACCTTTCAATTAATTCACATTATAATCTACATACCGCTGAACAGCACTGACTGATATACTTTATCCTTTCAAAGGCAGTTTTTTTTTGTTCTTGTGAGTTGTATTATACCACTTTTATCTGTTCGAGTAGGATCACAGTTACTACTACCTGTGTGTCTCACCACCGCCAACTTTTCTTCTTTATAATATTTATTTTTGTCATTTTGTAATTAACTGTTATAGCAGATGATGGGCTCGTTTGTCTTTCTCATTTCAATCTGTGTGTTACTTACTTACTTACTTGATTGAGTTCATGATTAACGAAAATTCTCATTGCTCCATGTGTGTGTGTGTGTGCGTGGGCGGGTTTGTAGTACTTGTAAAATAGTAGTATAATGATAATAAAATCCGTCTTTATCATATATATATGCACTGTAATACTTGTATTTTGCCATAAGCAATCAGTCATATTATATAATATTGGTTTATTTCTATTTTTCTATTGCTAATATTATTATTATTATTATTAGTCAATGGTGATCGTGTTTATGTACGTGTGTAAAGAGACAAAGAACAAACAGAAATACAAGAGCAATTTATATTATTATTATTTATCATTATTATTATTATATTTCATCTTATTGCTGCTGTGTGCGCATTGATTTGACTGTTTTTTTTTTGTGGTTTTTCGTCTATTATTATTATTTATTTATTTTTTGCGTTTCTTTTATTTTGTCTTGTTTCAAGAGAGAGAGAGGTAAAGAGAAGAAAATAATATAAAGTCACTTTACAAAAATCCTATGCTTTGTCTTTTTCCAATTTCAAAGACTTACTTATATTTAGCCCATGTGATTTCTCTCTCAAGACTTAGCTTGAAGGGGGGGGGTATTCATTTCTTCAGAGTGTTTAAAGAGACTATTCAAGTATTGGTTTGTAGGGATTTGGTTGATTGGTTACAGGATTTCATCATGAACTGACATTGGTTAGAGAACCATTGGAAAACCAGGGAGTACTGGACAGCTGTTTCGTCCTAGTTTGGGACTCTTCATCAGTACGCACCCACCAACAGGGTTCGAACCCAGGACCTTCTGGTTACAAATGCGAGCTCGTAGACCATCAAGCCACTGGGAATTGCTCCAATGGCCCATGAATTCTAACTTTTGCCAATTCACGATATAGCGCAACCGCTAGCCAATGTCTTCGGGGAGTATTTGTCCTCACACCCGACCTGCTGCACCCTACTGGTCACGACTTCCCACTGGAACCCCAGGTAACTACCTACCTGAATAGGGCCAGTCGCCAGTGAGCATCTCATTGTTTAAAGAGACTTTTAACTCCGTAAACTAATCTAGTGCTCACTCGTGGTAATCGACTACAGAATGAAGTTTTATGGTGGGAAGTTGGGACCAGTGGTGTCAACTAAATAGTGAGGTCTGAGGACAGATTAATCACCGATGTCATTGGCTGGCAGTCGTGCTATATATATATATATATATATATATATATATATGCCAGAAGTTATAATTGATGGGCCGGTTATTGGATTCTGTCCTAGCGACTGAATGGTCATTGAGTTCTCCTTGTCACCTGAAGAGCCTGGGTACGATAAGCGTCAGTGGGGTCATGGGTGTGTAATGCTGAAGAGTCCCAAATAAGGACGAAACAGCTGTTCAGTAATCGCTAGTTTGCAGTGATTTCTAACTGAAGTCAGTTCATGATCAAACTGATGACTGACTGTCGCATAATCTCAAGGTCTTAGGTCCGTTCTCATCATCAGTGCATACATAATGCAGCGGTATCTCAAACTAAGACGAAATAACAACCATCCGACGCTATTGGCTTTCAGTCATTCTCTAACTGTGATACTGTGTGTTTAAGTCAACCTTAAAGATTATTTGCACGTGAATATATTCCAAAGGAAGTTAATGTCTTTGGTGCTGCACAACATCCACTAATGGTGTTGGGATGATTAGTTCGAGATTCTTCTAGTTAACTATCCCTTGCCGGTATTTACATCAACCGTTTAGCTTTTTTGAGGTCTTACTCATCCTCCAGTTACCTGTATGGAACTACATACTTCGCAGACAATTAATTTCATCACTGTATTGCAAACGTTAGTCAGTAGTAGGTTTTTGAAGATTCGATTTCAACCTAGAGAGCTTCGGTTACAAATTGACAAGTGGTGATGAACACAGCTCTTTTATCTGGACCTAACACATCCAGGTTTTGCAGGTTGAGCATATGTTGCGAAATGAGAATGTCCACATTTAGCGATTCGACTCCATAAAACAGTCAAATAGATTACCAGGTTGGTAATCCTAGAGCCTAGTGAAAAACATTAAATTCAATTTCGCTTGCATTTACAAATCCGTAATGTTTCCAAGTGTTGGTGTACAGGGATTTGATTGATTTCAAGTTTAACCACGAACTGACTAGTGTTCACTAGTGACTGTTTACAGGAAGTAGTTACCTCAATTTTTTAGTGGGGAGTCCTGACTACCGGGGTCCAATAAGTTGCGTGTGAGGACAGGTTGGTTAGTTGACGATGACAATGGCTGGCTATCACAGAGAGAGCAGATAGAATTGGTAGGTCATTGTATTTCATCCCAGTAGTTGAATGGTCAAAGGACTGGCCTTTTAACCTAAAGCGGTTGGGTCATGGGTGTGTATTGCTGAAAAGTTGCAGACAAGGAAGAAACAGCTGTGTAATACTTCCTGTTAGTTCTGATGTTGTTGTGTTCTCTGAGCTGGAGAGTTAATTTGCGAAGCTTTCATCACCCTACTGGTGACATCTTCAGCGTATACTTCAATTTGAGCTTCAAATTGAAGTATACGCTGAAGATGTCACCCAGTAGGGTGATGAAAGCTTCGCAAATTAACTCTCCAGCTCAGAGAACACAACAACATCAAAATTATCCACCTGAGCTAAAATCTTCTCTATCATATCTAAATTCCTGTTAGTTCTCTAACCGAAATCAGTACGTGATCAAAATTGAAAACTCCATAAGAATTTAAGCAGCAGTAGTGTAACAGCAGAACACATAGAGGATAATGGTAGCAGTAATGGTGGGATGTCAAAAGCCTTACATTGAAAATCCTCCTTCTACGGGGTATTCGCCTTCATCCCATGCTTTCCATATTGCTTCACTTGTTTTCTTTGCAACTTGGTCCGTTCTCCCTCCCCTCCCCGTCGTATTCAAGATTCTTGGAGAAGACGTCACACACCATACTACTTAGGAGTTCTTGCCGGTAGCACATGCTGCAGTAATAATAGTAGCGACAGTAATCAGATGTTTGATCAGTTTTCAACTCTTTACATCAATTATCCGTATGTGTAATACAGTTTTTCAAACGAAAAGAAAAAAATGACCACAAGAAAATCTCTACCATCTTCTACTTTGATTTTGCATTCATGTAAAGTGTCGCGACCACCTGCTGCGACCGAGGTTGGGGAGAGTTCGGTCTTCCTCTCCAAATGATCTCATGTGGCCGCCACGCGTTCATGTCCTTCACCAGGTAAATCCCTATTCACATGGCCAAAGTTTTCCTCACAAAAGTGTAAGAGCGAATGAGAACATCTGGCGCTTACCAGTCGGACTGGTAGACATGCTGGTCTGTCTAGTGGAGCTGAAAAACCCGGATTCCAATCCAAAGCTGTGGTGTACATGGGCTCTATAATCTTAAAGGATCGAGTGATATATGAACCTGTATTGGCCATAGGTAACCAAGCGGAACGT